TTACCTTCAAGCCTTTAAGACCTCAGATGCTATACCTTTTGATAGCCGGGCACCATGAGCTTTCTTCACCACATTTGCTTATGCACCCATTTGCCTTCAGTGATTGTATCATGGAGGTGAGCACACAATGATAAATGATTTTTTGTTCTTTGACGCCAGATAACTGATCACTTTAGCACCTCGTGATCACACATCTTCCATGTGGGCTTTGTTGCTTCCGAGCTAGATGCTGCTTGTTTACCTTCAAGCTTTTAAGACCCCAGACACTATACCTTTTGATAGCTGGGCACCATCAGCTTTCTTCACCACATTAGCTTATTCACCCGCTTTGTCTTCAGTGGGCCTGATACCTGATCCCTTTGACACCTCGTGGTTGCATAGGCTGGTGTGCTTCTTCCATGTGGGCTTTGTTGCTTCTGAGCTAGATGGCCGCTTGTTTATCTTCAAGCCTTTAAGACCCCAGACGTTAAATCTTTTGATAGCTGGGCACCATCCGCTTTCTTCACCATATGCACCTATTTTGTCTTCAGCTATGGTGTTGGGAAGGTTATTAGAACAAAGTGTTCTTGCTTTGAGGGAGTACTTGAGTGGAGGTCCAATGTTCATCTGCTCACTTAATACTTAACATATAAATATATGTTTATAGATCTATTTCCCTATCACTGTATATAACTATCTTTACATATGTGCATGCCTGTATTTAGACCTCTACAAATGTCTTTTACCTCCTAGTTATTTCCTCTGTTTCCTTTTACTTTCCTCTTGTCCCCCTGTCATGTTTACCTTCATTTGCTCTCATTGAATCCTCTGGGCTACACTGCACTTGCTCCAGCCCCACCCAGCACCCCACATCCTCCTCTCCATGGATTTTATGTCACTTGTTCCTTTGTCCCTGAGCTTGCTGGCTTCCCCCTTCCCTTTCCCACCCCCCCCCTCCCGTGTCCCCCCAAAACCTTCAGTCCTGTTGTTTTCCCCTCCGGATTGTTTATCCCGCCTAGCTTATCTAGATAGACAAGCAAAAGTAAATAATAAACACAAAACCAAACCAAGCAAAAGCAAAAAAGAAAAGCCTACAAGTAGCTCCAGGTCTGTTGGTTGACCTTTATGAATGTTTTCCACTTGAGTCTGATGGGGTCCCACGTCCTGGCCCCAAAGTCTACTTTTGACACCCATATTCCCTGGGGACTTCGTTGCTCTGCTCCCCTTGCTATTCTGCTGCACACCCTTAGTGTTTCCCCTCAGTGTGGTGGGGTCAGATCGGGCACAATGCCCACCTGTGTCTCCAGCGTTGTCTCTCGTAGCGAGATGGGTCAGTGACGGACATCGTGTCTGTATGGTCCTCTCTGTGCATTGGCTGCTCCGAGCAGGAATATCGTCCTCGGGGCTTGGTGGGCCAGCAGATTTTTTTTTCAATGCAGTAAAACAATTTTTAAAAAAATGCTTCCCTCGTCCAGATAGACTGAAGCATCTTTCATGTAATAATACCGCCATAATCATCATCATGGTTTTTCCTCCCGTTTAAAAGGGTTGTTTCATTGGCAAGTGCTCACAGATCATACCGTTCCCTCGCTCCCTCCGGCTAAGGAGAGGTATGCATCATCACCACCGTCGTTTGAGAGCATTTGCGCCCTCATACCCCTGTGGCTAGGGGCGTCATGCCTGCTGCCCTGGGCAAAGCCGCACCTGCTTGTTGCAGGACCGTGTGCACCCCTCAGATCTGGGGCTTGGCAGGCTCATCGTCAGGCTCCAAGCCCCAAGGTCAGCTGTTGGAACCCACCAGCCGCTCACTCCGCAGGAGAAAAGAAATTGTCAAGTCCTCTGAAGATTTCCAGTCTCAGGAGCCCCCTGGGGGGCCTCGGCCAGTGAGCTGGCATGGGCTCCCCGGCGGTAGGTTTGGTTGGGGCTGGTGGGCTGGTTTGTAACCATAGGCTGTGTGCATGGCGGTAACTCAGGGACTGACTGGGTGACACTGATACCGCACGTGGGTTCCAGTCTTCACTTTGGTCCCCCTACTGAACCTCTGGTCTGGAAGATCATTGTGACCCATTTGACAGCTTCGTGCTTTGAAAACCTGTGGTTTACGGTGGACTATCCTGCGGGCACTTTGCCTTCCATTTTATGGGATTTAAATGTGAATTCAAGTGTGTTTTAACCGCAAGGTCCGTAGGTCGATACCACCAGCCCCTCCGTGGGAGAAAGAGGAGGCTTTCTACTCCCGTAGAGAGTGACAGTCTCAGGAACCCACAGGAGTGCTTCCCCGTGCCCCATGAGTCAGCAGCCAGTTGTTGGCAGTGTGTTTGTGAGTGAGTGTTCTCACTGTTCAGACTGATGGCCATCAGTGTTAGGACTTTGCTGCTGTGAGCTGCTTTGAGTCCAGTCTGACTCTGCCCCACGTGTGCACAGTGACCACCATCTGGTGTCCAAGGCCATCATCACCTTCTGGACACAAAGCAGCCAGTCCCTTCTTCCGAGGCGCCTGAGGATGGCGCTGGGCTACCACGTGGCTCTCCTAGGCCTTAAAGACGGTTCCCTGGGAGGGAAAACGGAGTCTGGTTCGCAGGGGAGTAGGTCCCAGAGACCAAACCACCTTGTCAAAGTTAGTGTCGTCTGAAAACGGAGGATGATTACATCGCCTCACCCCTCACCTCCAACACAGTCGTCCTTGCTGAGGTCACTTACCACTGTCATCCCCCCGCACCTCCACCACCAGTCCTCTCTGCAGAGTGAAGGACCACCCAGGCTTCTACAGCCACACACACACACACACACCTGGAGTCCCTCCCTCTCCTATTGTCACTGCATTCTCAGGATGGGTGGCCCCTTATCCCTTCAAGACCTCCAGACACCCTTGGTGGTTTTGTCAGAAGTAGTGGGCTCCTCGTTGTCCATGGGCAGGAAGACCTAGATACCGTGGGGAGGGGGTGCACACTGCCTGCTGCTGGGTGCCCCTGGCAGCCCCTCACCGATGCATCATTCCCCAGCTCCCGCTAGGGGGTGCCCAAGTGTTGATCAGCTGATGTGGAAACCTGTGGTCTGGAGACTCCTCTGACCACAGCCTGGCCCGTCTGCACTAGGAGCAGGTGCCAGATGCCCCAGGGTCCTGCTTCCTCCCCAGTCCCAAAAACTGCCCTCCCTCAGGGCACTGGCTGCCACTTCCTCAGCTTCAACCCCTGTGGGCACCCAAGACCTCTTGGGCTGTGTGCCAACCCCACTGGCCCCGGCCCAGCCCCCTGCCTGTGCTCTGCCCAGCCCCCAGCAGCTCAGGGTACCGCCCCCTCTCCCCTCCGAGTGGGTGTGGTGAACTGCTGGCAGTAGGCGTTGCCTCCCTCCCTGTGTGCACCTGGATCCTCCTGGCAGGGACCTCGGCACGCCTCCCAGGCAGCCGTGTACCACGAGCGCCCAGGTCCAAGGGAAACTAGCTTCTGCACTAGCGTTGCGTGAGGTCGAATAACGGGGGAGTCGGCACCTGAGGGGCAGGTGTCGGGACTAAGGAGCTCCTCTGCTGGGGGCCCCGTTGGCCCTTGAGAGCTGGGAACCCTGTGAAGAACTGTGCAGATGGTGGCCCCACCCAAGGGCACCCAGCTGGCCCGGCCCAGCTCACTGGCTGAGGTGCGCCCTGCCCTGGGACCATGTTTGCTCAGGGCAGAGGGCATCTGGAGTCCTCACTGCCAACTGGGAGCTGCCATGGCTGCTGTTCCCATGAGGAGAGAGAGAGAGAGAGAGCAAGCCAAGGCTTACGACTTAAGACTCGAGCGGATTTACATGGACTCTGGACTTACAGCTTCTCCTGAAAATACCGCCATGCCCTGGGCCACGTGCCCCGTGGCAGCATTTGGCTGTAGCTGAGTGCCCAGGCCTCACCCCCCTCCCCCTCCCACCACCTCTCTTCCCTACCAAAGCCTGGGTTCAACAAACAAACAGACAAACTCACAGCGACCCTGTAGCACAGGGTCGAGCTGCCCCTCTGGGTTTCCGAGAAGGTCGCTCCCTACGGGAGTAGAAAGCCCCATCTTTCTCCCACACAGTGGCTGGTGGTTTCGAACCGCTGACCTTGTGGATCAAAGCCCTTCACATAACCCCTGCACCAAGGCCTGGTGTTAGTAGCTACTTCATTTCTTTCTTTTTTGTGAAGTTGATGTGTCGCACCTACATTGTAAATCCCCATTGGGGTTGGGGGAGGGGGGGCGCTGACCAGGTGAACACAGTGTCAGGGAAGCTCCGTGGTTGAAAGGTGAGGGCCGCCCACCAAGGCTGGTGCAGGAGCCAATAGTCCCCTCCCAAGGCTCTGCCTTTGGATCCCAGCCTTGACTCCACCACCCCCCCTCAGGTCAAGCTGTGTCCTACTGAGAGGCCTGGCCCAAAGCTGAGGGCCCCCACAGGGCCACTTAGATAGCCTTGCAAGGACTCGGAGAAGCCTCTAGACTAGAACCCAGCTCCCACCGCAAGGCCTCACCCCATTACTGCTGTCATAGCAGCCCCTGGTCCCCTCACCCCATTACTGCTGTCCTGGCAGCCCCTGGTCCCCTCACCCCATTACTGCTGTCCTGGCAGCCCCTGGTCCCCTCACCCCATTACTGCTGCCCTGGCAGTCCCTGGTCCCCTCACCCCATTACTGCTGCCATAGCAGCCCCTGGTCCGCAGGGCCCTGCAGGGGTGACACCACGCAACCCCTGTGGCATTGCAGTGTCTGCTGCCACCCGGCCACCTGAGCCCACCCCAGGGTGGCGCGCGGACTGACGCTGGGGAGGTGGTGTGCCTCAGTGCCGCTTACAGCCCCAGACTCCTGACTGAGAGGCCCCTTGGTTGCCCACGGGGCTGCCAAAAGCTTGTGGAATTAAAAGCTCCCGGAATTTGTCCGTGAACTTTCTGGAACCCTCGCAGGCACAAACGTACGCTGCTGCTGCAGTCCTCCCTGCTCCCCCGCCGCAGCGCGCTGGTTCTCTGTGGCCGTGACCGCTCTAGCCAAGTCCTTTCCCACCAGCGCACGGGTGGGGCACCCGCTGCCCCGTTCTTCTCCTGTGCGTGCAGCCTCTCTAGCAGCTGTGGTGCCCAAAAGACACAGAGGCCCACGGGGCTGCCAGGAGCCAGGATCTGCTCGCTGGGGCTACTTCTCATGACATACGAACTGCTTTGTGTGCGAGGGAGCGGGGAGGGGGAGCGGAGTCATTCAGTAACCCGAGTCAGCCTACAAAGAGGACTCTGGGCTTCATAATAGACACGGCGCCGGGGGCTGCAGAGAGCCTGGGGACAGTGGATCTTGTCTGCACGTTTTTTGTGTGTGATGAGCGATAGTTGGCGGAGAGCGGAGAGGTCAGCTGTGGCCATCTGCCCTTGAAAGGACGCCCTTTCAGCTGCCTGCAGAGGCCCTGGGAAACCCGGCAGGTCCCTCCGGGGCCTCTTGAGATGGGCCATCTGCGTGTCTTGTTTGCCAGGCCCCTCCGTCAGCACCCGCCTGCCCCCACGGCAGTCCCCCTCTGTGGGCCAACTGAGAGGCACTCGCCCGCCTGCCCTCCCGCCCGCCTGTGTGCCAGAGGTGGCAGTTAGTCGGGCCGCAGACAAGGTGGCCCCGTCACAAAAGGCCCCTGGTGGATAGAAGGATTGGACAGGAAGCTTGAGGGGGCAGTGGTTCAGGAGGGACAGCTCAGAGGAGGGTCGGGAGGGTTGTCCAACTGAGAGAATGTTGCCAGTGTCACGGCTGGATTGCCATGTGCTTTCCTGTGCTTGTTTCTCCATGGCAACACGGTAGCACATAAACAGACACACAATTCCGTCTTTAAAAACAAACCAACCAAAAAAACAACAAAACTAACCGGTGTGATTGGCTTATCATTCGCGTATCACTGAAGTCGTTAGTTCAAGCATATTAAGACGAGCTGTAGAAGCCCCACCCAATCAGTTTCAGAACATTGTCTCCTTCCTTGTACTCCTCGTGGTTGGCTCCCCATTTCCCCCCAGCTACCCCTGCCATCCCCCCAAGAAACCATTCACCCAGTGACTGTCTCTACAGACTTACCCTTCCTGGATTTCATATCCAGAAAAACATACCTTCCCCCACCCTACCCCACCCCCCAAAATCAGCAAACCCAGAAGAAAATCAACAAAAGCAAAGCTACACCCCCTGTTTCAAAAGGCAGGAAAGGAAGGGGTTGCTTCCTGCGGCCCCAGATAACGAGGGTCCTTTGAGAAGTCTGTGGGGAAATTCCACCCATCTTCCATTCCCCCCTTTGCACCCACTTTGTGAAGCCCCCTTGTGCATACATCCATTAAATGATTTTTTTTTTTAAAGCACAGGTTCATGTGCAATGTGTGAGTCAGACCCTAGTCAGAGCTCTGCTCATAGCGGAAAATCAGACTCACCACCATCGAGTCCATGCTGACTCACAGCAGCCGAGTGGAACAGGGTGGAACTGCCCCCTGGGGAGTAAACAGGTGCAGAAAGCCTCGTCTTTCTCCTGCAGAGCAGCAGGGGGGTTCGAACTGGTGACCTGGGGCCAGCAGCCCAACTCGGAAGCCATGACACCACCAGCACTCCTCGAGCTCTGCCCCGAACTCCCTGCCGTCGAGCTGACTGACTCACAGCGGCCCTGAAGGACAGGGGGGAACTGTCCCTGTGTGTTTCTGAGGCTTGTGACTCTTCATGGGAGTAGAAAGCCTTGGCTTTCTCCCGGGGAGCAGCTGGTGGTTTCGAACTGCTGACCTTGCGGTGAGCAGCCCAATGCATGCATAATCCTCTACGCCTGCGGGACTCTGCCCAAACAGTGTAAGGGAAGCCTCCTGCTGCCTTCAGCCATGTCCTCGCCTGACCGAGGCACCGCCAGCGCCGTCATGTATGAGGCAGCAGGCGCCCTTTGCCACGGCGGCTTTGTGGGTCTGTACGCCCATCTCAACCGTCTTCTGCCAGGCGTCTTGTTCTGACCAAACAGACGGTCTCGAAAGGAAAGCAGACTCGGCCTGAATGTTCACCGAGAGACGGCCCTTTCTCTCGCTCGCTCGCTCACTCGCTCGCTCGCTCTGCAGTGGGCTTTGGGTAGCTTCACGGGCATCTGAGTTTGGGTCCCGGCCTTCAAGGGACCGTGGGTTTGGCACTCCCGGTGGCACCACTGTGAGAAAACAGCACAGTCTCCAGACCCCCCAGCCCCTCCAGGCTCCGCTCCTCACCCCTCCCTCCACCTTCACCCGCAGAACATAGACACGCTGGAGCGCGTGGCCGGGCTGGAACCCGAGGACCTGGTGGAAGCCCACGGTACCTTCTACACCTCGCACTGCATCAGCCCTCTCTGCCGGCAGGAGTACTCGCTCAGTTGGATGAAAGGTGAGGGGCCCCGGCAGGGCCAGCGGCCCAGGGACCACCACAGCACCCCACCTGTATTTTTTTTTTTTTGCACCCCACCTGTATTGCAGGCTGGGAGCAGCAATGGGGCAAGCCAGGCCTCAGCTGCGCCTGACCTGCACGTTCTCTGACCCTGTGTGATAGGATACACACACACACACACACACCCGGAACTGAGGTGGCGGCCAGGAGCCCCTGCCCCCTCACCACCTCACAGCCAGGCTACCACCTAGGCAAGTCCCCGACCAGTCGGAGCCCCCAGCCCCTTAGCCTTGCAGGTGCTCTGGCCCCACCTGCCAGGAGAGGCGCTTCAGAATTAGAGCATCTGCCTCCTGTCCACTAGAAGGTTCTAAGAGGGCAGGAGCGGCCCGCATCTGCACTGTCCATGTCAGCCACGTGCTCCGTGGGGCGACCTTGATGAGCAGCCGCGTGTGGCGTAGTGGGTTACATGCTGGGCTGCGAGTCCCAGGGTCCACGGTTTGAAACCAGCAGCCACCTTGGTGGGGGAAAGACGAGGCTTTCTGCTCCCATAAAGAGTCGCAATCTGGGGAACCCACAGGGCCGGTTCTACCCTTTGCTCAAGGGCGTGGGCCTGACCGCAGGGAGTGTGAGGTTTTGAACAACCAACCCCACGTCGGTCAGCACCAGACTGAGAGTCAGCAGCCTTCTGTTGGCCAGTCTGTGTAGGAGGGTCGGTGACGCGGGAAGCCAGGCAGCAGCGAGGTAAGGGACAAAGGCTGCACTCTGGCTGGCTGGACCTGAGTCGTGGTCCCTGCTGGTGGCAGGCAGGGGTTCAGGGAATAAAAGCCCACTTTCCAGAGGCCGGGAGGGCCAGGAGACCTGCGCTGGCAGCCCTTAGGTAGACTAAGAAGCCATTCACGCCAGCCGGGGACACCGGTTTCTGGCATTCTTTATGCTGCCCTGACAAAGCCCCCGCTGTCCGTGCAGGGTGAGGACAGCTGCAGCGCTGGCAGGCGGGCCTCCGCAGGGTGGGCTTAGTGAGAAACAGCTGATGGCCCCTGGGCTGGTTGGGGGGAGGGGAGACGCTGGGTAGGGGGTGGGGGGTGGGGCATGACAATGAATACTGCCCCGATTATCCATCCCTTCCTGACATCGTCTGCCTCGTGCACCAAGCAGCTCCTGTCCATCAGGGTGGACAGGCACTCAATGGGAAGGCAGGCATTTAGATCAAACCCTAAACTGCCGTTTAGACCAAGTCCCAAGCTCACCACCCCACAGAATCGATTCTGACTCAGAGGCAGCCTGTAGGACAGAGTAGGACGCACGGCCCCAGGAGGTTGCCAACGCTGGGACTCCGTGCAGGGACAGACAGGCTCATCTTTCCCCCTTGGACAAACGGCCGATCTTGAGACTAGCAGCCCAGTGCATCGCTCACTACGGCACGAAGACCAGATCAAACTAAAGTCACTGTCGTCAGGCCATCTGACTTGGAGCGACCCTGGAGGGTGAAGTCGAACTGCCCTCTGGGTTTTCGGAATGGTAACTGCTTACAGGAGGAGAAAGCCCAGTGTTTCTGCCGAGGAGCAGCCGATGGTTTCGAACTGCCGACCTTGCAGGCATAACCATCACCCCGCCAGGGCTCCTGGCATGAAGACCGCACTCCGTGAATGTTTGCCAAATGCATGACCAGTGGGGCGCGTGAACTAGGATTCTGTGGCCTCAAGCGACAGAAATGAGCGTGCAGTAAGGAGACGTGTGGTCTGTTGGAAGGATGGAGTTGGGGTGGTGGTGGTTGTAAGCCGGGGGATAGGCAGCAGCTGGCCCTGGGTTTTCTCGGTGCCCCTTCCTCTGCACGTTCCTGGGGTGAGATCCCGTTGCCTCGTGGGGCTGTGGAATCGTATGGGGCTGCTCACCTTAAGGTCGGTAGTTCAAACCCACCCACCTGTCCATAGGAGGAAGACGAGGCTGTCTACTCCCTTAAATATGGACAATCTCAGGCACCCTAGATCACGTCGCTGGGACGCCAGCGCTCTTGAGAGATCTTTACTCCCCACTCCAAGTGCCCCAGGGCAGCGTGGGTAGCATCCAGGTGCTCGCTCACTTGCTCATTAATTTAGCCTTTCGTCACTCGGGCCCTGGAGGGGCCCGGGTGGCATGGTGCTGACTAATTGCGAAGGCAGCCCCTCCTCAGGAGGAAAGGTTTTGCTCCCCAGAAGGGTCTCAGCCTAGGGAACTCACCGGCGAGGTCTCCCCTGCCCGAGAGTCGCCATGAGTCGGCATCGACTTCATGGCAGTGAGTTTGGGTTTGGGGGTTCATGCATGCACCCTCGATGCAGGGGTGGTGCTGGGAGCAGCCCCTAGAATTCTGGGCACAGAGGATGGAGACTGTGCTATGCTGGGAAGGGGGCTGTGGGGACGGTGGGGCGGGGCCACATTGGGAGTCGGCCGGGCAGCCTTTAGCCTTTGACCGCTTCTCTCCTTTCCTCTTCCTTTCCCCAGAGAAGATCTTTTCGGAGGTGACCCCCAAGTGTGAGAAGTGCCAGGCCGTGGTGAAGCCTGGTGAGCTCGGGGCTCGCTGGGAGGGCTGGGAAGGGCCTCTACAACCCCTTCCCAACCAGGCCACCCCCCGCCCAGCCCTACCCCCGCCTCTCTCTGGCCAGCACCCTGACGGGTCCTGGGGAGGGTGGGCTTCCATGCACCCAGGCAGCCCTGCTGCCCCTCAGCCCCGCCTCGCACCTCTGCCTGCACCTTCTCTGCCCGTGTCATTCTTTCCCTCTCTGTCTCTGTGCCTGTCCGCCTGTCCGTCCACCTGACTCCGCTCAGACATCGTGTTCTTCGGTGAGAACCTGCCAGCACGCTTCTTCTCCTGCATGCAGTCAGTAAGTGTCCCTCCAGCGCACGCACGCCCGGGAGGGCACAGCCGGGTCCTGCCCCAGGCCAGGCTGCAGAGCGCTGACGGCCACCTCAGGCGCGTGGGGTGGGGGGCACGGCGGAGCAGAGCCCTCACCCGCGCCCCCACCCTCAGGACTTCCAGAAGGTGGACCTCCTCATCATTATGGGCACCTCACTGCAAGTGCAGCCCTTTGCGTCCCTCATCAGCAAGTAGGTGGATGGCGGGGCTGGGCAGGGGGCCGGGCAGAGCAGGGGCAAGTACTCACTGCACAGCCTGCTGTCCCCCCAGGGCCCCCCTGTCTACCCCACGCCTGCTCATCAACAAGGAGAAGACAGGCCAGGTGAGTCCACCTTTGTTCACGCACACGCCTGGCTCCCAGTCTCCCCTTCCCTCCTCTATACACGCTCCCAGCCTTCCCTCCCCCCACTCCCACTGGCTCGGGAACTAGGATACAGGGGTCCGAGAGAGCTCCACCTGGGAAATCCCACCACTTGGGAGTTCACAGCCCAGGCTTCGGGATTCCAGAATGCAGAGGCGTCTGGTCCTCGGCGACTTGGACCCCACGATCCCACGGGCCTCTGGGTAGCACCAGAGGTCAAGTGCTCCACAGCTTGCTGAGGGGAGGCAGGTTCAAACCCACCCAGGGGCCCCTCCCAAGACGGGTCTCGCCATCTGCTTCCACCAGAAGGCCACAGGCTTGACACACAGGGCCACCAGGCGTGGGGACCCGTGAGCAACAGCTGCGCCATTCATGGAAGGGACAGAGTCCAGAGCTGACTGAGGAGTGGAGGTGGGGCCCAGGCCTCCTCCCTCACAAGAAAGCCTCATTGCCCTACAACGAGTGACCGCACAGGACAGGGCAGAGCTGCGCCCGTGCGAGCCTGAGACCGTCCCTCTTTGCAGGAGTCGAACTGTGCAGTCACAGCCCAACATGTAACCACTGTGCCACCAGGGCTCCTGTCTTCCTCGCAGGCCTGGGAACCGAAGTCCTGGTTCTCCCCCACCCCCAACCCAGGCTTTGCTCTGATTGGCTCCACAGGAGTCACGTGGGCACCACTGCACTCAGCCTGTGTCCTGGGACTACCCACCCTTGGGGCCTGGGTTTGGGTCTGTGCTTCCTGGACCCAGGGACCAGAGAGCTGGAGAGGATGTGGGAGGGTGGGCAGCTGGGGCAGCAGGAGCACAGCCCGGAGCCATGGCCGCACCCCCCAGGCCTGTTGCCCCAGACACACCACGCCTCGGGGTGGCTTTGCCACACAGAGGCTTCTTTCTCCCAGTTTAGGGTGCTAGAACTCTCAATTCAGGGAAAGCTCTCTCTCTCTGTCGGCTCTAGGGCTGCAGGCATCTATCTCTCTGTCTCTCTGTCTGTCTCTGGGGCTGGCAGCCTCTGTCTCTCATCCTGGTCCCTTGGAAATCTCCAAGTGTCTTGGCCCCTCTGGTCCCCATCAGGGCCCCTTTAGCTGGCTTGTCTCATCTCTTCGTCTGCAAAGAGGTGGACTGGCCCACATCCTGCATTCACCCTGCCTCCGGAAGGCAAGGCCAACTGCTGTCCTGAGGGGCGGGACCACAGGTTAGGATTTGCAACACACACGTATTTTTATAGCTGTGCTCTTTGGTGCCCTGGAGTGGGCTCCAACGTTCACAGCCCTGTACACAATAGAAGGAAACACAGCCCGCCTGCGCCGTCCTCACCAGGATGGTCGTGTGTGGGCCCGGTGATACAGCTACCACGTCAGTCCATCTCCTTAAGGGGCTTCCTCTCCTTTTGATGCCCTTCAGCCTCCCGAGCCTGCGGCTTCTCCCCAGGGCCTGCTATCTCCAGGACATCTTTGGGGAGCTTGTTTTATAATCTCTAGCAGCCAGCGTTTTGTGTGGGAGCGCACTGACATGACAAGCCGAGTGTGTGTGTGTGTGTGTGTGTGTGTGTTTGTGTGCAGCAATGATCCCTGTTCTACAGGTAAGGAAACTAGGGCTCAGGGAGGCCGAGCCACCTGGTCTGAGTCACAGAGCTGGTAGACAAACAGGCCCCCTGGCTCTGGAGTCTCTGCCCTTAACGTGCCCCACGACCCCCCACTTCCCTCCTTCACAGACTGACCCTTTCCTGGGCATGATGATGGGTCTTGGAGGAGGCATGGACTTCGACTCCAAGAAGGCGTACAGGTGAGGGGAGGTGGGCGGAAGCAGCCAGGTCAAGGTGGGAGGGAGACCGGAGGCGGCACACAGAGGCAGCGCGGTGCTCACTCAGATGTCACCTATTCCCACAGGGATGTGGCCTGGCTGGGAGACTGCGACCAGGGCTGCCTGGCCCTTGCTGACCTCCTGGGATGGAAGGTGAGGAGCCTACCTACGCGGGAGCCCTGTTTACCCTGAGCCCAGTCAGAGGGCCCTAGCCCCACCCTCCCCAGATCCTCGGACCCTGAGTCCCACTCCATGACCCCTCTGACCTCTGTGACCTTGGCCCCTTGCAGAAGGAACTGGAGGAGCTTGTCCAGAAGGAGCATGCTGCCATCGACGCCCAGTCAGCCGCGGGGGGCGCCAACCCCAACCCCAACCCCACCGTTTCCGATGACCCCAAGAAGTCTCCGCCACCAGCCAAGCCGGAGGCCAGGGCCTCAGAGGGGGAGAAGCCCCAGTGACAGGGCTCAGCCCCTGCCCGCCCCTCTCTAACGTATAACTCACAACAGCGCCCCCAGCTCGTAACTACTCCCCAACAGAAAAACTGGGGTCCCAGCCCCTCAACCCGCCACAGTTCCAGCGTCCCCCAGGGGCCAGGTCTGAGCAGCCCATAACAGCCTCCCCCTTTAACTCCTCTTAGGGGCAAGGATCAACCTCTCTCTAATCTCTAACTGTTGGGGGTGGGGGGGCGAGGCAGCCCTCACCCTGCAACTGTCCCAGGACAGGGATCTGAGGCCTCTCACTCCACGCCTGGGCCCTGAGGCTGAGCCTGAAGACCTCCACCTCTTTGCCTCCGACTTCAGAGTGGGTGCTTCCCCCAGGGCCTGCTTCCCACCCAGGGGTGGGGAGATGTCACCCGTATTAAGACAAATTAAAAACAACCACAAAGCTGGCACACTGTTGGAGGTTTCTTGCTGGGGACCCAGGGGAGCCGCTGGAGGGAGGGGGCTAGGGAGGGAAGGAGGGAGGGACCTTAGGCCCCAGGAGAGCCAGCACACCAACAGGTGTGGATGTGAAGGTGGCGGCAGCTCCCTCCTGTTACCCCTGTTACCCCTACCAGGCGCCCAGCCTCCTCTGTCTCACCTAAGACCTGAGTCCCCGGAAAAGAGGGGGAAGGTTCATTTCTGACCCCCCGCTGAGCCCCGCCCCTTCCCCCCACAAGGGCTCAGCTTCCTCTCTGCCTGCCGGAACTTTCACTTCCTGCTGCACGGGCCCCCCTCTGAGAGCAGGTAGGGCCCCCAGGGACCCGAGCATCTGGCCGCTCCCCACACTGCCTCCCATCAGCACCAGGCGGCCGCCCTGTCCCACCCTGGCCACCACCACCCATCTTCTTCCTTGTCCCTTTGCCCAGGGCCCAGGCTGACCTCTGGCCCCACCCCCACCCTTGGACACCTGCCTTCTGCCCTCCCCACCCCCACTGATACCCTGCCAGCCTTGTCTGAGCCCCAAGAGGGTTTATTTGTCTGGCTCCTGTTGACTCCCTCCTACTTCCTCCTCAGGCAAGAATGGAAAGGGTCCCTGGAAGGGGTCCCGGGAGAACAGGGGCCTGGCCTGTCCCCCGGCCACCAGCCCCTCATTCTGGGCCTGGGCTCCTTTCAGGACTCACTGAGTGGATGGATGGGTGAAGCGACCTTTCCCAGATCCAAAGGTTTCCCACTCCCAGGAATGCTGCGGGGAAAATAGTCCCCTAATACTCCCCCACCCCCACAGTGAGGGCCCGGAGAACTAACTCGGTGCCAGATGGCCAGTTGGGTCCAGAGGATGGAGGGAGGGAAGGCAAGAGGGACCCGTGGGTGAGAAGGCAAAGAGGGTTAAAGGGCAGAGGTAGCTTCTAAGGGGTGGGCATAGGAGAAGGGCTTTCACAAGGTCATGGAGGGAAAAAGTATCTTTTTATTCCCTTTTTAGCATAAACCTTGGGAAGGCTCCTGGTACTGGTATTCCCTGGGACATTCACTCCCCTTTTCTCTCTGGGCCTTTGCGCAGTCCCAACATTGGCAGGGGGAGGGGAGGGGAGGGGGCATTCCAGGGGCTGGAGGAGGGGGAGGGAGGCTGCCGCAGCTGTTGTTCAGATTTAAAGCAGGCCAACTGCAGGCTGAGGTCTCCCCGGGCCCGGCCCGTGTGGGCCAGCAATGTCACTCAGCCAGTCCCCGTTGGTACTGCTGAACAGGCTGCTGAACTCTTGGCCTATTTTCCTACCACTTGATAAATCACCGAGGAGCCCTGGGGATGTAGTGGTGAAGGTCAGCAGTTCACAACCACCAGCTGCTCTATAGGAGAAAGATGGGGCTGTCTACCCCCAGCCAGAGTTACAGTCCTGGAAACTCAGGGGCAGTTCTACCCTGTCCTATAGGGTCACTATGAATTAACATCGCCTCAATGGTAATGTGGTTGGTTGGTTGGTTGGCTTGGGGGGAGGTACAAATAGCAAGGAGCCTTGGTAGCCCAGTGATTTACACATTGGGCTGCTAACTGCAAGGTCGGTGGTTCAAACTCAGCAGTCACTCCATGGGAGGAAACCGAGGCTTTCTACTCCTGTAAAGATTTACAGCCTCAGAAACCCACAAGGCCAATCTACGCTGTCCTGTGAGATGGAATTGGAATCAGCCCAATGGCAGGGAGGTTTAGCAGTTTGGTTAATAGCTGTTGCTTTTTAAGTCCCTCCCTCCCATCCTTCAGGACCACCACCTCTCTGCTGGGGCTGCCAGGTCTCCCCCCGCAGGAAGCAGGCCTCAAAACTGGCAGAGAACAGAGCAGAACTGCCCGCGGAGCACAGCTGGTTGGTTTCAAACTGCTGACCTTGCGTGTAGCAGCCCGCATGTGCCCTGCTATACTATGAATCGGAACTGAGTTGAGGGCAGTGAGGTGGTGGAATTTGACTGACCAGGGCCGCTGCCACGGTGATGGCAAGCGCTGTTTCTGGGCTGGACCGGCCTCGAGGGCAATCTTCCTCTCTCAAAAGGGCCAGAGCATGGCTCCCTGGCCTCTTGCGTCCTGAGCATGGCCCAGCGGGAGGATAAGGCTTCTGTCTCGCCCACTGACGGGGAAAGGTAAGGGCTTAGGGGCTGGGGTCTCAGTCTTCCTGCCCCTGACCCAGAAACTGTTCACCCAATGCCCACCACCCCCTACGCCAGGGACCCCGAAGCCCACTCTGACCCTTCATCCCTCGGATGCCCCTTCCTGTACTTTGACCCCTCTGACCCCTGCCCTGAATCCTGCCTGTCCCAGGCTGGCCTCATCACAGGTGAATGGAGCAGGGGAGAGCCCCCTAGGGGTCCTGAGGTCCCCAGAACCACTTCTTCGTCTCCGGAGGACGTGGGGGGTTTGGCAGGTCCCCGAACTGAAGGCCCAAGGTACAGAGGCCCTGCTGGAGCTGCGGCCACCAGGAGTGAGTACTCGGAGCTGGGGACCCACTCGGGACACCCTGATCTCGGCTGCTTGACAGGCCTGACTCCGCTGGGACAAACCGGAAAATCGGTTTTCTTCTTTTTCTCCTTCCTCCCTGCTCCACTCTCCAGTAGCTCTTCCTCCTCCGCTAGCTGCTGCTGCTGTTGCTGCCGCTTCCTCTTGCCCCTGCTTCTGTTTTAGTGGGCGTGTGCAGGGGGATCAACAGGTATCTTTGCTGTGTGCAAGGCAAGGTCCTGGCATATACACCACTCTCTGTGTGCTTAGGTCGGTTCCAACTCTTAGTGGGTCTCTGGAAAGGAGGTGAAGTCACACAAGCACCTGTTTATCGTGTGTGCGCGCGCACACAGTTACAGATTGGTTTATATTTCTTTTCTTTTTTGTTAAGCACTAACTCCTTCTCTGGCGGCCCTTGGTAACCACGTTTGTCTCTACGCCACTGCTGATTTTATAGAGTTTACATGTAGGTGACGGTTTGATATTGCCCCTTGACGTTGGTTTATTTCACCCAGCATTATGTTCTAAAGGCAGGTAGCACGCATCAGAACCTCCTCTCTCTCGGTGGCTGAAAACTGTGCCATCGTACGGAGGAACCACTTGTGATTTCTCCATTCATCCATGAGAAGCCTTGGTGGCATAATGGGCTGTGCTCCGCACTAAGTTACTAACCCAAGGTGAGCAGTTCAAATCCACCAGCAGCTCCGTGGGAGCAAGATGAGGCTGTCTGCTCCAGTAAAGATTTTAAGTCTTGGAAACCCAAAGGGGCAGTTCTACCCTGACCTGTAGGGTCACTAGGCGTCTGTGGTGGACACTTGGGCCGTGGCCACCTCTTGGCCATTGTGACTAATGCTACCATGAAGAACAGGTGCACAGCTGTGTTTCCGAGCCCCTGCTCTTCTCTGGGGTCATGTGCCGAGGAATGGAATCATTGGACTCTGTGGTGAGTCTCTGTTTAACATTTGGAAGAGGCACCACGCTGTTTTCCACGACAGCTCTACGATTTTTACAATCCCACCAGTCACGGAAGAAAGTTCTACTTCCTCATCTCCTCACCGACATCTGTTGCTTTGTGGCTTTCTTTCTTTTTTTTCATTTGTAGCATCCCACCGGGTGTAAAGTGATAGCTCATTGTGGTTTTGATTTGCATGTCCCTGATGACTAATGACGTGCCCCATCTTTTTATGAGCTCCTTGGCCATTTGCACTTCCCCTTTGGTTGGGTACCTACTCCAGTCCTGTGCCTGTTTTTGAAAGGAGGCTGCTTGTCTGTTCGTTGTGATGTTGTGAGAACTCTTTATGTATTCTGGACCTTGGTCCCCCGTTCAGTGAATGGCTCCCACTCCTGCTGCCCCGAGTGTAGGTTGTCTCTGCTTTCCTGATTGTGCTATGATGAACCCACGTGTTCATTTTGATGAGGTTCTGTTTGACCCATTTTGTCTTTTCTTGCTCATGCTTTCAGTACCATATCTAAGAACTCAATCGTTTAAAAATCAGATCCCAACGTGTTACCCTGATGTGTTATTGTGGGGTTAAGAGGAGAGGAGTCCCCACAAAACATCACAGGCGCAATTGTACAGCGATAATAAGTAAAGATTATAGTAAAGTCATAGAGAGCATGAGAGTTAAAGGATGGAGTCAAGTAATGGAGTCAGATGCAATTCATGGTAGCATCGCTCACCTCAGCCCCGCTTGGTGGTCCACATGGAGGGAGAGAGAGAAACTTTAATGCTTCCCAAGCTTTTATCCTCTCTGGGGACGTGCAACCCCCCTAATTACAGGTGAAGACATACGTCACAGGAAGGGGGTGTACAATAGGCATACACATTGTAGGAAGGGGATCTATGGTAGGCATAAACATAACAGGAGGGGATGAGCTAGGGGTGTGCCCACAGGAATGGGAAGGTCTAGGGGTATACATGTGACAAGATGGGCGGACCCTAGATTCATGATGGCGGCCTAACCTTGGTCATCCTTGGGCGGGTTTGACCTCTCTGGGGTCTCCTACATGGAAACAGACAACTACTATCCTTATCAGAAGGGAGTGAGCCCTACTTGTTGTGGGATAAACAGTGGTGTCTGCTTGGTCTAGATGGCTGATAGCTCTTAGGGGTAATGACCCCTAATCTACTCCTGATGACCTCCAAGTATATAGTCCTTCTCAAGCAGCTAAGTCTGGCATATATTTGGGGGCGACAGCTTGAGAGAAATCCTTCTGTTTCCCACATGTTATGATTTTGAGAGTTTTATGATTTCAGTGCTCCGTTGAGTCTCTATTGAGGTCTTTGATCCATGTTGAGTTTGTTTTTGTATATGGTGTGAAGGAAGAGCCCAGGTATATTCTTCTGTTTATGGAAATTTACTTGTCCCGTTGCCTCTTCTTAAAGAGACGACCCTTTACATTCTGGATGGATTTACCCACCTGGTCAAAAATCAATTGACCATAAATGCACCGGCTTCTGGCTAGATGCCCAATTCTATTCCATTGGCCGATATGTCTGCTATTAGACCAGTACTACACTGTTTGGATTACTATAGTTCTAGAAGATGTCTTGAGACGGTGCTATTGGAAGATGGCTTTGGCTTTTCTGGTCCTTACCAAAATTTATAGCTTGGCGTCTCCATTTCTTCAAAGAAGACTGTAGGAATTTGGGTGGGAATTATATGGAATCTATAGATGGCTTCAGGTAGTGTTGACATCTGGGCAATATGAAATCTCCTGATGCCTGAGCACAACATGTTCTTCTTCTTTCATGTCTTTCGGTCGTGTCCTGTAGTTTCAACTGTGTTACCCTGGGTGGACTAGAGAAACAAATGCAGGACACTCATGTGTATAAGAAAGAACTTTATGAAATCAGGTAAGACATGCTTGTGATGCCGAGCATTGTAAGGGCGCCGCGCGACTGCGCACCGTGGACTTCGCCGAGCGGCACAGCTACATCAAGGCCGTAGTGAAGGACGTTATCCAAGACCCGGGCTGCGGCGCGCCCCTCGCTGAGGTGGTCTTCCGAGACCCCTACCGGTTTAAGAAACGGAAGGAACTGTTCCTCGCAGCCGAAGGCATATACCTCAAAAAAAAAAAAGAAAGAACTTTATATCAAAGAGTAATCCTATATTAAGAAAACATCCCAGTCCAGTCCAGATCAAGTCCAGAAGTCTGATATTAGCCTGTATGTCCAATACCCATCTATACATTCTTCTTCAGACTCACGTAGCCATGCACTAATGCTGAATGCAGGAAGATCACAGGTGAGTGGGTGGAAAGTCTTGTGGGTCCATTGGTGGTGGAAGTATCTCTGGTTGGCGTGGGTCTCCACGTGGCTCCTCCAGCTCCAGGGCCCTGGCTGCCATCAGCATCGCTCCATGTGGCTTGTCAACAGGAATGTCTCACAGGGACTGTGTGTGTGTCCCGCCTCCAGTGAGCTGTTGATCTCCGAAGCACCTCCAAATGAGGTCATCAAGCTGCAACCTAATTGACAGGCTAAACGCCACCCCTTCACTTAAAAATTTTTTTTCACTCTTGACATCAAATTATGTAACTACCACATGAACTTACAAGTTTTTCCCTAATTAAATGCATTCTAGGTAGTCTATTCTTTTTGATGTTATTTGTAAGTGGAATTGTTTCCTTAATTTCCCTTTCAGATCCCTTATTGCTTATGTGAAAAAACATTTGGTGTATCGAACTTGTATCTTGCAACTTGATTAGTTGATTGATTGATTAATTCATTGATTAGCTCCTGGGTGGCACAAGTACTTGTCTATGAACTGAACAATGGGCTCTTTACACCTGCCCAGATGCGGCTGGTTATATAGGTCGGATGCGCTGCATCTGCACCACGTGGTGCTGACAGCAGCAACCAACAACAGCTTTCTCGTCGAATCCGTGGGGCCCTCTATAAAGAGGGAGAGTCATGTTATCTGCAAAGAGCAATCGCTTTAATTCTTCCTTTAGGGAAAAAAAAAACCCTCTTCCGTTTTTCCCAAAGGCCCTTGGTCAGACTGAAGAGTTCGCCTTCTAATCCTAGTTTGCCGAATATTTTTTATCCCGGAGGGTGTTGGATTTTGTCAAAGACTTTTCTGCACCAATTGTTCTTGTCTTTCGTTCTATTAATGTGCCAGATCGCATTGCTCGATATTCTCATGTAGCACCACACGCGATCACTTCGTGCCCCGCCGCCGCCACCCAGGCTGTTAGATTCTTTTTCTAATATTTTGAGGGAGATTGTTCCCACTGCAGTCATAGAGCTCGCTGGTCTGCGTTCTCTTCCCTGCTGCCTCTTTATCTGCCTCTGGTGCCCCTCCTCCCCGGACTTTCCAGAACAGCTGGAGAAGGGCCAACGTTCATTCTTAAATTAGCAAGGCTATCTAAACCAGACTTCTTTGCTGGAAGGTTTTTGATGACTGATTTAACCCTTTCATCTGTCCTAGGGCTGTCAATGTGTTTTAGCTCTTCTTGAATCCACTTAGGTCGTTTGTATGTCTCTCAGAATTTGTCCATTTCGAGTAGGCTGTATAGTTTGCCGGGATACACTTGCAGCATTCTCTCTCTCTCCCTCTCTCCCTCTCTCGGTCAGTCTGGCATTGATGTTCCTACTCTCTTTTCTGATTTAAGTAAGTGCCTCTTCTTGTATTTTCTCTGTGGATCTCGCTAAACCCAGATCCAAACCCACCTCTGTGGAGTCCGTTCTGCCTCAGAGCAACTTTCTGTAGGACGGCGTGAAGCTGCTCCTGAGGGCTTCTGAGACTGTACATCTTCACGGGAGCAATCACCCTCGTCTTTCTTTGGAGGAGAAGCTGGTGGGTTTGAACCTCTGACCTTGAGGTTAGCAGCCCAGCATGGGACCCACAACACCATCAGGGCTCCTTCAGTCCAGTCACAGCTGTGTCAATTGCGCTCCTCGTTTCAAATAATCAACTTTTGATTTCTTTGATCATAAAGGTGGCTTATAGATTCAAATGACTGAAAAATGCAGAAGTCAAAACTAGCTTCAAGAAATGTCTGGTTTCCAAACTTCAAACAAGTGAAGGATTTTTCTGAATGCCATTTTTTGGCTCTGTGTCTAGCCATGGGGAATTGCTCTATCAATTGGGAATGCTTTGGGCGGCAAGTAATAAACCATTGTTCTACAGTAGCCTAAACAAATAGGCATTTATCTTGCTAACATAATTAGAAAGAGAGCTCCTATCTGATTCATTAGCATCGGGACCAGCTTTTCGGTGAGTCTCCTGGCCTTTCTCCATCATTACCCAGTGGCTGTCCCAGGTCCAGGTATACAAGGGGGCTTAAAAAGTTTGTGCAAAGATGGAAATGAACGTGAATGGAATTTTTTCTTTTTTATTCCAATCATTTTATTGGGGATAATGGAATTTTTCCAACAAACTTTTTGAAGCCTCGCCTCTTACGTGGGTGCATTTCAGGCAGTCAGGAGAGGTGGGAGCAATCTATTTATTTTATCAGCAAAATTCACACTTGACTCAAAATCTGTGGCTGGAACTCAGGTAGCAATATCTGTTAAAGCTCATCTAGGAATTATAACATCCAATCAGAAGTGAAAGCCATCGCCTACGTCCGTCGGTCATCTGTGATCCAGGGCTGGGCATACCAATTGCCCTGACTGAAAGAGCAATTCTGCAAGAAATGAAGGGATCGATTTGGACACAGCAACCTACAGCATTTGCCATAGTTTCTTCTTCAGGAATGGCTATCCCAAGCCCAAGACTATGTTCCACCAATCAGCACCCCCTGTGGAAATAGCTCTTTTGAAAGAGCTCCCCCCAAAATCCTCTGGAAGATCTCCCTTAGCTGAGCTTAAATTCATCTATTTATCCCTGAGCCAATCACAGGGGTCAAAGAGCACAGTCATTCCCCTGGCTGAGTTAGGCCATAGACCCACCCCCTGGGACCTGGAGGGAACCAATCCCACCCACCTGGGCTGAAAGTAGGGAAGGGGCTCCTCTAAATGACAGGTGAGGTGTGCAAGTCAAAAACACAGAAAATGGACAATGTCCAACAAAAGCAGCAGACAGCTGCGTATCTCCTCCTCAACTGACTTGTGTCTGCCGCCCCTAGAGTTTCTTCGTCATTGGATATGAACCCCACCAGGCCCTGGTGCTCAGGACAGGACCTTCACCGGGAAAAGTCAACACCTACCGGATCAAGCAGCTTCCCGGAGGTGAGGAGATTTCAATCCAAAGCAAACTTCTCACCGGGAACTCTTAGCGTCACTTCTAAAATCCCTCCTGTCCCTCTCCACCTCTCTGCCATGGTCTGAGCCACCATCCCCTCTGACCAGCAGCCTCCTTCCCGCTCCCTGTGCTTCCAGCCTGCTTTCTGAGCACGGCAGCCTGACAGGTTTTTTCAAACACCCACCAGATGCTACATCTTGTCCCAAACCCTACAGAGCTTGCTAACATTTTTAGGTAAATATTTAAGCTCCCCAACAGAGCTTGCAAGGCACTGTGTCATCCAGCCCCTGCATCTGATTCTTATTCACTCTGCTCCGGCCACACCCTTCTCCTTGCTGCTCCTTGGACACACAATGGAAGGTGTTCCAAAGTCAGATATTTGCAACCCCCCTTCTCTTCTGCATGAGTAGTCTTCCTTGAAGGGTGGGTTAGTCTCTCCAGCCTGTAGGTGCCTGCTGGCATGTAACCGTCCTGGATTTTCACAGCAGCTATGGCCCTCTGTCATTTTCGACCTGTTTTTTTCCTCATAGCACTCTATACTCGACACTTATCTTTCTTTTTCTTTTTTATTCCTTGGGATTTAATACACAGATCCTCCCCGAGTTCAATCACGCCAAGTAGAATTGTACAGTTGCTACCACAATCCGTTTCCAGCCATTCTATACTTATCTTTACGTATCTATTTATGCATTTATTTGCAATTCCTCCTCCTGAAAAGGAAGCTTCGGGAAAGGCTCACGCGTAGCTGCCTTTTAACAACTGTTCACTGCTTTAGAAATGAGAAGTGCTCAGAAATCTCTCTCTAGTGAAGGAGTCCTATGGGTGGCATAAGTGGGATATAAGAGTAAAGACACCGGGGGAAATGGGCTCTAAGTACTGGCGACTTCCTTCTTTAGTAAGACCTGGGGGGCTTGCAGGAAGGAGGGGGAGAGTCAGGAAGCTGGTACTCTTCAAAGTTTCTTCTTCCTCTCTCCTTGCTCCTTCCCCAGGTGTGTCTCTGGAATCCTCTAACCTCTGCATGCCAGACCTGCCCAATCTCCTGGCCTTCCTATCAGCCAGCAGGTACAGGTTACTCATGAGCAGAGCCAAGAAGGACTCTTTCCTTTGGTACCCAATTCACACGGTGACTCTCCTTTATCTTTTCTCAGGGATGTTCTGCCCAGAACACTGCTCTTGCCCCCTCCAACTCGAGGGCCTGAGAACAAGCATACAGGTGCGGCGTGGTCCTCCAAGGGAGGCAGAGGCCTAGCCGCCTCAGTCCAGGGTGATGGGACTTGGAGAACCAGACTCCTAGGCCTGAGAATTAGAGGGAGTTAGGAACTTTGGGGTCCCTGAGGGGTGCGGGGGCAGAGGGTTAGAAACCAGACTGTTTGGTCTGTGAGGGGAAAAAGATGGGGAACTTGATCCCTGAGCTTGAAGAACAAGACTGAGAACCCAGACTCCAGGGTCTTGGAGGAGGGAGAAGACGAGGGCCAAACTCCCAAGTTGAAGAAGAGAGGCAGTTTGGGGGTTCAAGGAAGGAGGGTGTTGGAGGCATATATTCCTTGATAATGAGTGAGGAGGGGGCAGTAGGCAAGTCTCAGGGTCTCTCCAGTCCTAAGGCTAGGAGCTTAAGCATTCTGGTATCCGGAGGGACCAGGGCTTGGCCCCAGGACACCTGGGACATCGCCCTTTTGCTGGCCTCCAGATCGTCCGCAGATTGGCAGGGTCCACCTTGACGCTTCAGGAAAGGCCCTGTCGGTGGTGAACCAGCTCTGCCAGGAGCCCCACCAGGAACATGAGGTGGAACGGCCCCTCTCGGAGACCCCGCCAGAGAGTGCCCAGAGAGGTAGCCCAGGTGAGGGGGGCAGAGCGGGGCATGCTCTGCGAAGGGAACAGAGATCTGCAGACCAAACTCTCTCTTCCCATTCCAGCCTCTAGCCACCCCGCCCCTCACCGCGTTTCCTGGATTGAAGGCCCACTCAGCCCAGAAGTTAACTATCTTGGGCCATCTCTGGCCAGCCTGGCGGAGGAAGGGGAGGAGGAGGATGCCTTCAAAGAAGAAGAGGAAGGCCCTGAGGATGCCCTCACCACTCACGTCCGGGCTCTGAGCAGATCCTGGAACAATTACGTGGCCAGGCAGTTCCGAGGCCTGCGGGCGCGCCTCAGCTCAGCCACAGGAGGCGCCCACGGGCCAGGGGACCCAGCCACTGCGCTGCTTCAGGACGTGCGTCACCTCCTCACCAACCTCCAGGATTACCTAGTAAAGGATCCCAGCGTCAGGGCTGTCTTTGGGAGCAGGGGCCCCCGGCTGGCCAAGAAGTACCAGGATCTTGGTAATGAGGAGGCATGGAAGGGGACTTCCTGAGCACCTCCTGATCTTCCAGGGGTTCGGGTTTACCATCTCTTGGCCCTACAAGTCAGCTTGCTTCCAGTTGCCTGCTTTCCAGGCATGAGCGTACACATTTGCTACCCCACGCACGCACCCTTTTTGCATATTAAGCCCAAACCTTCACCGTGGAGACAATTCCAACTATGAGGGTCCCCGTGAGGTCCCCACATCTAATACCACCTATTGCATTCACGGCACCCCAGTGGGTTACACGTCGGGCTGCTCACCGCTCGGTCAGCAGTTCGAATCCACCAGATGCCCTGTGGGAAAAGGATGAGGCTTCCTACTCCTGTAAAGAGTTACAGTCTCAGAAACCCACAGGGGCCGTTCTCTTCTGTCCTATGAGGTTGCCATGCGTCGCACTGACTCGGTGGCATGTTTACACTTGTGGGTGGTCAAAGCGGAGGAGGGTTGGTGGCCCACTAGGGTGAGTGGGCGGTTGAGGGTCGGCCCGGGGACCCTTCCTTCACTAGCCCCCATTCCCGCAGGCCCCGCGGTGGAGGCGGCGGTGTGCCAGGCGGTGCTGGCACCCCTGAAACCAGCCCTGTGGACTCGACTGCGCACCCTCCGCGCCCCGGAGCTCAAGCGCCTGCAGCGGAGGCAGAGAGCCCTGAGGGCGGGGGCGGGGCCTCGGGATGCGCAGGGGGCGGGGCCGGCGGCGCTGGGCCCCGCCCCCGCCCTGCGCAGCCGCATCCATCGGAGGCTCGCGCGCCTGCACGCCGCGTGCGCACCCCGGCGCAAGGTGGAGCTCTTGCTGGCCGTGTGCAGTGACATCTACGCCGGCCTCGCGCACGGCGAGGACCAAGGTAAAGGAGCGGCTGGTGGCTGCCGGAGCTGCACTGCCTTGAGGTTGAGCCACGTGGCCCACGTGGCCTGGGAAAGCACGTTGGAGGGGTCTGTGCGTGGGTGGAGGGCAGAGGGTGGCAGGCGCCCATGGGTGGCATCTACGTGGCCCGTGGGATTCCTGTTGGAGATGCTCTGCAAGGTGGGAAGGCAGCTAGCTAGTGTGGCCCCGGACATCGGGTGGAAGGTGTTGGTCCCCCACCACCACCACCACCACCACCACCATCCATCTCAGGGTGTACGCTCCTCCGGCTCCCCCAGAACCCCAGGGGGCCGACGCCTTCTTGCCAGCGCTGACGGAGGAACTGATCTGGAGTCCCGACCTTGGGGAGACGCAGCTGGACGTGGAGTTCTTAATGGAGCTCTTGGACCCCGATGAGCTTCGGGGAGAGGGTGAGCCCCCACCCACAGCATGTCGAGGTCCAACCGGAGGTGTTCAAGGGTCACCCGAGCGAGGGACACCTCTCGGGGATGCAGGCAGGAAAGGCAGGCCGATTGCAGGGCTGCTCTGAGGGAGCCAGGGAAGCCAGCCAGGAGGGCTGACTTCCCCTCTCTGGCTTCCAGCCGGGTACTACTTGACCACGTGGTTTGGCGCGCTGCACCACATCGCCCACTACCAGCCCGAGGCCGGCCGTGCACCCCAGGGGCTCAGCTCTGAGGCCCGCGCCTCCCTGCGCCAGTGGCACAGCCGGAGGACGCTGCATAGACAGGACCGCACCAGTACCCAGGTGATCACCGGCCAAGGCTGCTAGCAGAGGGTAGGGCGGGATCTATTGCCCTTCTGACCCAGGCTTTTGCCCCTCCCCTCAGGCTGACTTGTCTTTTGAAGAGCCTTGGGCCGAGGGGACAGAGCCCAGAAACCACTGATGGTTAAGGGGAGGTTCTCTTCAAGCAAGATGACCGAGGTGTACCTCGACAGCAGCAACTTGTGACTCCAGTGGGCAGGGCCAGTGTGTTAGTCCAGGTAGACTAGAGAACCAAATCCAGGGACACTCGTGTGTATAAGAGAGAACTTTATATACAAGAGCGATTGAATAGTGAGAAAACATCCCAGCCCAGTCCAGATCAAGTCCAGAAGTCTGATATTAGCCCTTATGTCCAGTACCAATCTATAAAGTCCTCTTCAGACTCACGAAACACATGCAATGACGCTGAATGCAGGAAGCTCACAAGTGGGAGGAAAGTCTTGTGGATCCAGTGGAGATGGAAGCATCTCAGCACTGGCATGGTGGCTTCTCCAGCTCCAGGGCCCTGGCTGCATCAGCGTAGCTCCATCAGGCTCATCTTCAGAAATGTGTCTCAGGGAATGAGGTGTGCCCTGCCTCCATCGGTCTATTTATCTCCTTAGTGACTCTAAAGAGGTCATCAAGCTGCGACCTGATTGACAGGCCAAACCCCGCCCCTTCACTCTAAGTCTCAAATTGGCAACAGATTAAGTAAGGACCAGAGCCAGCAAGGAGGAAAGGGTCCCAGAGAGCAGCCAACCTCGTGGTCTCAGTCCTGGGTGTTGCATCTTCCTGGAAATGCCCTTGCTTAATATCCACACTGCCCCTTCCCTCCCCCCTTTGGGTCCTTCCCAAGGAGCCCTCCCAGACCACCCTCACTTGACCTTTCCCACAGTAGGCAGAAGAATTTCCACCCGAAGAAATAAATGAAGCTAATCCTGGGGATCCGTAACTAGATTCCAAAGGCACTGGCCGATGCCGACTCTCAGAGACCCGATAGGAGAGGGTAGAACAGCACCTGTGAGCGTCAGAGACTCTTTGTAGGAGTAGAAAGCCCCATCTTTCTCCCTCAGAGCTCTTGGGGGTTTCGAACTGCTGACCTGCAGTCCAGCTTGCAACCACTATGCCACCAGGGCTCCTCTCAGGGTAAAAGGGGCCTCTGTAGATGTAGTAAGCCTCAGCATCTTAAGATAGGGAAGCGACCTGGGGTATCCAAGGGTCCCAGTGCCTTCAAAAGTGCCCTGATAAGAGGGAGGCAGGAGGGTGAGTGAAAAGAGATGTCACCGTGTGAGTGATGTGGACAAGAGCCAGCAAATTGCCAGCACATTCGACAAGCTGGCCTGCACCAGGAACGGCTTCTCCTTTAGAGCTTCCAGAAGGAACTCAGCCTCTTCCCGGACTCCCGTCAAGACCCATTTCAGAGTCCCGGCGTCCAGCCCCCTCAAGTAATAAATGTGTGTTTTTTGAGGTCACTAGGCTTATTGTCGTCTGTTACAGCTTCAGTGAGTAACTGAGACAGGCTCTCAGCATTCGCTCCAGGAAAGACAAGAAGTGGCATCCAGGCTTTGAGCTCCACAAGGGACTCTCACCCACAGATACAAGAATTCCCTGGACCCCGCCCAATTCCCAATCAAAGTAAAGTTTTTTTAAAACCCTGCCTGGGTGGAAAGCTGGCCCGAAGAGATTGTTTACATCACAACAATACACCTGCTCCTTTTTCCCAGGCGGCATAGCAGGGGCCGGTCAACCTTTACCCCATGCACCCTACAGCGTGGGGCTTCCCCCTTCAAGCAGCTTATTGTTCCCAAACTTCAAAGAACATTCCAAAGGAACATGGCTTGCGTCCTTCGAGGATGGCTCACCTCCCGTGTTGACGTGGTGTGGATGAGGGAGCGCAGGCGCCATCGTGAAGAGCTAGAGAGACGAAGATCGTCCTCTCAAGCGTGTGGACCCTGTTTTTGACAGGATGCGTGTTCATGGTTATGCATGTAATTATTTTTTTTAACTGTGGCAAAAACGTACACACCAAAGCATTCTCCAGTCCCACAACTTCTACATGTATAATTCAGTGCCATTTGGATGATATTCTTCATGTTGTACAACCATCACTGGCATTTTTTCTCCAAATTATTCTGCCACCATTAACATAAACTCAATAGCCCCTAAGCCAGCGGTTCTCAACCTGTGGGTTCACAGGGGTCGCCTAATTCATAACAGTAGCAAAATGACAATGATGAAGTAGCAACGAAAATCATGTTAGGGTTGGGGCGTCACCACAACATGAGGAACTGTACGAAAGGGTCGTGGCACTAGGAAGGTTGAGAACCATTGCCCTAAGCAAAAACTTTGGCAGGGTGTTTTTAAGGGTATTGTACATCACTTTCAGTGTCTCCCTTCTGAGAACCCACTAGAAAATTTCACACCTCAGTGCCAAGAAAAAATTTTTTAAAAAGCTCTCCTGAGAACTGGTGTTTTCTATTCAAAGAAAATCGTGAATCTTGGAAGCAAAAAAAAAAAAAAGTGTATACATGAAGGCTATATTGAGCAGCAATAGTTTCACATTTGGGTATTTCTGTTTAATAAAACTGCTATGGGTTTGGAGCAAAAAGGCATTTCCTGAAAAAGTAGTAAAAGCCCTCTTATCCATCTCATGAGGAAACATGTTTTATGGGTTTGGGGTTGTTTTGTTTTTTTTCCCATTAAAAAAAAAAAAACATTTAACTGGGGCCTCTTACAACTCTTATCACAATCCATCCATCCATTGTCTCAAGCACATGTGTACATTTGTTGCCATCAGCATTCTCAAAACATTTCCTTTCTACTTGAGCCCTTGGTAGCCGCTCCTTTTCCCCCTCTCCCGCTTTATGGAGTTCTAAAAACCCAATTGGCATCCAATTCGAATATCATACAACTCAATAACGATCAAACATCTGGACACTTAGAAATGCACTACAAGTGTGTCAGGGAACGTGGCATGTTGGGGGTTGCTTTTGTTTCTCTGTAGTTGTTCTTGGAAGCCAGTAAGCGTGAACTCAGCTTTACTGCCTCAGGACAACCAAGTGGGGCAAAATGATCGAGGGCCGGGGAGGGGACCGAAGGACTTGACCTCTGAACTATATTGTTCATCCAGAATCGAGGGCACGGTCTCACTCCAAAGCCTTTCTGGATCTAGCTCCTCCTTCAGGGAAGAGTCAAACCCACCCCCCAACCAACCAAACTCAAACTGAACCCACCACCCGTTCGTCACCAGGGCTGCGAACGAGCCAAACAGGGCTCTCAAATCTGTGTCCATGTTTCCCAGGGTTCCCGTCGCACTCTCCAAAGTCGAATGGTTCCCATCTCCCCCCAAAAGAGTGTTTATGGTTGTTGCATAGTGATTACACGTTGGACCCATAGCCACAAGGTTAGCAGTTCAGAGCCACCAGCCGCTCCACTCTGAGTCACTCTGAGTTAGAATCCTCTCGACCGCAGAGGGTTTGGTTAGGGTTTAATCTAGAATTAAATGGTTTCATTGTTGCTTTTAGCAACACGTAGTGTCGTCGCAGTGTGTGAATGCCAAAGCTTTTCTTCGACACTTGGGCATTTGGGCAGTTTCCAACTTTCTGCGGTTGTAGGCGGTGCTGCCCTGAACACGGAGCGGAGCGCACACGTCTGCTCATGTCATGACTCTCTTTTTTAATTTTTTTTTTTTTCCGTGTATGACTCTTACTTCTTCAGGGTATGGACCCAACAGAGAAATTCGAGTCCCAGATATTTGAGGCGGCGCCATATTGCTCATACACTGTTTAAAGCGCCCAGGAAAGTGTCCCGCCAACCTCCCACTTCCTGGCATGGTCTGAGCTTTCCTTGGGATGAGAGGCAGGCCATGCGCTTAGGGGGTCTGGGGTGACAGCGTCCTCGGGACATCGCATCCCCACGAGGTCTCTCCACTGCAAAGGTGCCTCCCCTGGCCCCTTCACATTGTTATTCTGTTTGTGGGCACACCTTGTCACACCGTGAGTAACCTGCCCCTTCCCCTGACACAGTTGTGCCATTTCAGGACCATTGCTGACTCATGTTGTAACTGGTGGACTTACACAATTACATTATATCCAGGCAATTAACTTCCACTTCCTGGAATGAAGGGGCGTTTCCTGTTTAAAGACATATGCTTGGATAATCATTTTGTTTTTAAGTCAGTTGACTTAAGAATATTCAGTCGATAAGGGCTGGGTGGCTCTGTGCATGCCTGCCAAAATTAAGGAGGATGACACCCCACTGGGGCGAGTTTGAGCCTGCTTTGGGCCTTCGGCGCTGTATTGGGGGTTGCTGCTGTATTCACCCGGAAGCCCTGGGCCTCCAGCGGGACACCTCAATTCCACTGCATTCTAAACTGGCCTCGGCATCTCCCCCACCTCTGCTTCTCCTGCAGCCCCTCGTAGAAGGCGGGTCTCAAGGAGCCCAGGTGCCCTGCACCTTGTCTTGGATGCCTCCCGTCACCCTCTCCCGGCCCATCGGCCCTGCCTCCAACCTGTGCATTCGGCTCCACCCACACTCTCCCCTTCCACGGCCACTCTGTGGACCCCAGCCACGCCTGGTCCACTGAACAAACGTTGACTGTGAGTCAGCATAGAACGGCTGGAGATATTTCCGGGACGCCTCATTTTTCTCCCTCAGAGCAGCTAGCGGGTTTGAACCATGGATCTTGCGATTAGCAGCCCAACTCTCAGAACCCACTGTGCCCCGGCCTCCAATTACATTCTTACCCAAACAGACGTGCCAATCAGAGGAATCTTTTTTTTTTTTTAGGAATCTTTTCAAAAATAGATGGCAAGTCTACCTCTCAGGCCAAATTGGGGTTTATGAGAAATACAATTTTGTCACCCAAGGACAAAGATTGTATAATCCTATTACCTGACATTTCTAGAGTAGCTGGTAGGTAGAGATCAAAGTTCATGAGTGGTAACCGGGGCTAGATGAGAAGAAGGGAGGGAGGGAGGGAGGGGCCGCCACAGTGGGGCGGGACACTGAGTAGAGTGCTATTAAGAGTGATGGAAGAAATTAGGAGTGGTCAGTGATCCCTGCATAACATGACGGACACATTTAATGTGACTGACACGTGAGGAGTTGAAATGGCAAACGTTTTGTTCCCGTGAGCCCGTCGGGCCAAAGGCTGATCCAGATGCGGTGAGGACAGACACACCTCCACTCTCCGACCTTTTTATCAGTACTGACGCCGCGCAGTGGCCACGCTCTGGGCTTTGTGTGGACAAGGTGGACAAGGGGAACAAATCCAATGACAT